TTTATCCACCAAGTGATCCATCTGTCAAATCAGTGTCTTTCTATTTTTGAGACAAGGATGTCATATGGGACAGCGTCAAACGCCTTGCGCAAAAATGACATCCGTTGCTTTTCCCATGTCAACCAGTGCTCTAGCTTTGTCATAGAAGGCCACTAAATTAGTCAAGCACGACTTGCCACTAGTGAAGCCATGCTGACTGACACCAACCACTTGGTTATTTTTTATGTGCCCTGGTACAGCTGCCAGGAGAATGTGTTCCATGACTTTACCTGGCACAGAGGTAAGGCTAACTGGTCTGTGGTTCCCCGGGTTGTCTTTGGTCCCTTTTTTAAAGATGGGAGTTATGCTGGCCCAATAGCCATAGTGATTGAAAATGCCTTGAATTGGGAGTTGAAGTGTCTTATGCTACAGAACTACTAATCCTTTCTTCTAGGAGAAAATTAGTCAGAGGAAAATGATTACCTTGCCCTTAACTACATTTTTTCAGCTATCTAAAGTAGTGCTTTCATATATATGGCCAAACATTTCACTAGCACACAGAAGTAACATGTAAAATTAGCATGCACCTCTTTTTTAAAATATTGTATAAACATTCACTTGAGTGTCCATTAGAAATCTAACGGGTATATGAAAGCTGAAAAGGCAATTAATGTGATTTTTTTCGTTGTTTCTTTTTACTGGCATATCAGAATCAGAGAGTGGCTTCTTCAGAAGAATCTAATGAATTACTAGGGGAATTTATTGAGTTCTAGAATAAGTATATAGAAACAAATTGCTTGAATTGAGCAGTTCTTTTTAGTTTCAATGTCTTTTTCTTAGTTTCCCCTATTTTTTCTGTATTTCTGCTTGTGTTCTCTCAATTTCTTGAGCATTTTATGTGGTGTTTTTTCTCCTTCACAGTTTCTTTACTTTCGATGTCCTTTTTTTGTCTATTTGCTTTTTGCTGTTCTGGCATGTGTACTGCTACGTTACTGAGTCCCCAAAGACTAAATGTTTCATTCACGTTTAAATTTGTATTGATTGAACTAAAAGTGTGCTACAGAGCTCCATTATTCCGATAGAAAGTCGATATAAATTATATATTTTCATACTTCTTGTCCTAGTTTCTCGTTGAGCACATTTCAAAACAGGTTGTGCAGATATATTGGACTCGGACTCTTTTAGATGATAAGTATACAGGGAAAAAAAAAATCCTGATTTTGAAATACATTTAATTTTTTTGTTTATGCTCAGCCTTTCAGAATTTGGGATAATAAGAGTTAAATGAACTCAGAAACACCTGGCTTAGCATAGATTTAGGTAAAAAAATTACTGGCAACCTTTTCTAAGCTGTGCGAGCTATATTATATCACTAGAGACAGGTAAGTTTAGAAAAGAAGATGACGTTTCTGTATGTTTGATCTGTGTTAGCTTGGTTTAAATTCAATTTTGTAATAATTTCCAAGTAACCTTGAGTTCTAAAATGAACATAGAAAACCACACAAACACACGTAAAAATGATCCAATCCTCTCCAAGCAATGTCAAACTTTATTGAAAGTTACCATGTTCCTTTGAGGTAAATTTCATAAAAGCACAGTGTAGGCTGCTTGCTCTGCTGCTGCTGTTACAGTAAAGTTCAATGAAAGAATAAGCTGCAGTTAGCATTTTTCCCAAGGAAGAATTTTAAATTAAAACCACTGCAAAAGATGAGGCATTATTCTTTCTATAGTTTTTTTTCAAATTATTTAGGCAGTTTTCTTCCATCAGAACTTTTCCTTACAACTGTTATTCTTGCTTTATGTTTGTATCATATATATTTTATACACTTACCTATATGGTAAAAAAGGTTTGCACAGTCTAGAAATCAGAAGGTACAGAAATTTGGTATTTTTCTTTATTAAATTGTTACTTTAAAGTAAAGGGAACAATACTTTAAAGAAGGGAACAATACAGTGAAGTCGGGTGAGATTTTATGAAAATACTCTTCAACAATTGGTGAAACAATAAGTATTTGCTCTTGATTTCCAGAAGAGGAATCAAGGAGGCAAATAACATCAAATTTCTGTTTTACAGGGTGATGGAGGCATAACTTTAAATAACATTGATTTATTTCAGTCTGAAAATCCTAATTCACTATAGTATAGCTCATTTTATAGCTCATTGAATAAGGTTGGAAAGAAGATCAAAGGCTGTCTGACACTGATGTTGTCTGTCTGCTTTCAAAGACCTTCAAGACACCTTCAGTGAAGTCTAATTTTCCCAGGGCTAAGATGTTTCAGTGCCTCACACGATTTAAATTTTTTTTTTTTTTTCCCCCCTGAGTCTTTCTGCTCCAGATTTAGCCTATAATCATTGGCCTGCTTGTTACCTGTATGGAGAATTGTATGGAAAATGAAACCTCCACTATCTATTTGTGTTTGACTCTGGAAAATACTTTTTCACACTAGTCCTTTTCTGTGTGAAAGTTTGCTGAAGTGGATATACTAAGTTTATTCAACAGTTTATCGAAAACATTTTTTTGTCATTCCTGCTTGTTTTATTAACACAGATATTTGCTTGAAAATCTTTTCCTAATCTGAAATATCTAAGAACTACAATAAAAGATCAATTCTATAGTGTGGCTGACCTATGCAGAAAGTGTTTGCAGATATTTGTGCATAATTTGATATTAACCCACAGGACCAAATAATGTAGCATTGAGTAACAAAGGAACGACAAGTGTAGTGATGGTTGGATTTGTGATGGGGCATATCAATAAACATATAAAATGTTCGTTTTCTTGCTTGGTAGTTTGGGGGATTTTTTTTTAAACACTTCAGTTGAAAACACAAGGTACATTTAATATATTAGTAAATTGTTTCAACTAACTGGCACTTGAAATAAGGTACAATTTAATGGATTGGTTTTTTCTGAATCTTTTGAGAAAATAGATATTAGTTTTGATAACCTGCAACTTTTTAAGCTCTAAATGTGGACTCCTTGTGATAGAGCTACAAAACATTGTTCAATAGTTGAGTTTGATGTTCTCAAATTCAATGTTTAATATCTCTAGTTGTGGTTGTAGATAATGCTAGGAGCAAGAAGTCGGTTGGACTAAAAATGTATTTGAGAGATCTTACCAGAAGAGTGTTTTATTCATCTGTTTCTCTTGATAAAGGATTCTGTTGTTCTTATTCCACTTGTCATTTGTATAAATGTGTAACAATATTTTCTTTATTATTCTCTTGAAATGTATAATCTTCTACTTCCAGATCCATTTGAGGCTTTCATAATTTTTTCTATTCGTCATGAGATCAGAAAAATTGATCTTCACAAACGTGACTACAGCCTGTTAGTTCCTGGTTTAAGAAATACAATAGCACTTGATTTTCATTTTGATCAGAGTTTACTGTACTGGACAGATGTGGTAGAGGACAAAATTTACAGAGGCAAACTCTCTGATACTGGAGGTATGAAATTTAATCTTTAATTTTTTAACAGTAAGGACAACTGCAATTACAGGGTTAGACCTGATCAATCATAACTAAGCTACCATTCACAGAAGCAGAATTTATGATGGCATTCTGCCTTTAAAAATGTGTATTTCTAGGTTGTACTTGACGTAGAGCTAGAATGTGACTTTTTGTTATAAAAGTTTCCTTAGGCTGTGGGAGAAGTAAATGGCAAACGCAAAAGGGTGATTATTTTTTTTTCCTGGTCCAATGAGTGCAATATTGTGGTGTTTTTCTTCATTCTTTTGTAATTTACCTTTAACTTATTAAAAAAATATAAGCATTTGTCAGATGAATTATCTGCTCTTGCTCTGTGGAAGATTTTCTTCATAATGTTATAGCATTCAGAAAGTCTTGTTCTTTGCCCTGGTGATATTATCTACAGACTGTAACTCAGAATAATCCCATAACACAGAAAAGCATTTCTACAAAATGTTATTTGTTGAAGGATATGTTCAGGCACTTTCATTCTTGCATGAGCTAATACAGAAGCAAGTTCAAGTTCACACGTGCATTTGTGCATGCGTTCTCCCACATGTTTGATTTTCGTTTTCTGTTTGTTTTGTGTTTATTCTTCTTTTTAATAGATGATATTTGCGAGTATTTTTTTTATCCATAAATCCAGACCAGGGAACAAATAGCCTACACTGCTAAATATGTAAAGACAGCCAAAAACGTGTTGCTTTTCACTAATGGTAGCTATGTTTGTATGAAACCAGTAAGGTAGTCCCTTGTCATCACACTGTACAGCACCCAAGTGACTTTTTGTGCTGCAGAAGAGGTTGCTGGTAACGAGGCACGCGTTAGTCTCCTCTGTTACTCTGTGTGTGATCTCGGATCTTTACTGAAAGTTTCAGAGCCTTATTTACAAAAGCATCAGAGAACTAAAGTTTTCTATTACTGTGGAATAGAAATACTGTGGAAGTTTTTCTGTTTACTGCCAAGAAGTGTACTTATTTACAGCAATGCATTGCATTTATATATGAAAAAAAATGTCACATGGAACACAGTATTATCATCCATCAGATTAATCAAGAATCACTCCAAGAGCGTGTGATAAACTTATATGTCCACGTTCACTATATTGGATTCTATATTACTTCTTTAAGACTCTCTTTATCCCCTTCCCCATCCTCCTTTTTTTTCTTTTTTTTTTTTTTTAAAGGTGTTAGTGCCATTGAGGTGGTGGTACAACATGGCCTGGCCACACCTGAAGGTCTTACTGTAGACTGGATTGCAGGAAACATATACTGGATAGACAGCAACTTGGACCAAATAGAAGTAGCAAAACTAGATGGCACTTTGAGAACAACGTTAATAGCAGGAGCTATGGAACATCCAAGGGCTATTGCTTTGGATCCCAGATATGGGTAATTATGAAAAAAATTACTTTTTTGTGTTGCGATGTATTTTGGAGATGGAGGTTTAAGTGTGAGATGATTCGATGTCCTTGTCCGTTGTGAGTTATAGTTCCTAACTTATCTTTAATAGTTCTTGAAAGTATAGCTTGAGTTAAATACAATCCATTATTGGTGTGTTTTGCCCCAGTGAAAAGGGTTATAAAAACATAAGTGGGGAGAAACAGGGATATATTTGTTGGCACATTACTTCCTTTGCTATTCAATGGTTTCATTTGATTTTTTTATTGTGGATGACAGGAACTAGTGCCTTTTGTGTAACCTTCCTTTGTGGTTAGTGGACAGATTTAGGTATTGTCAAGGTGATTCATCTCACCTAGAGATTGATTGATTGATTGGGTTTTTTTGGTGGGACTATGAAAGTATAACTTAGATATTACTTGCCAACTTCTGTCAGTACTTTTTCTACCTTTTCATAAGGGATATTCTATAAACTGGATTGTTATTAATCATAAGTATCTACATGTAGTAGATTCAGCCTGCTACCATCAATATGTATTTTATCTAATGCCTGTCATAATTGTTTCTAATAAATATTAGTATGTTTTCATAGTATCAGACAAAATATTAGTTAAAACAAGCCAAAACTGGATGATTAAGAGAGTATACCTAAATTAAAATAGTGCCTAATTTTGATAATATGCTAGCACGATAAAAACAATTTTACCATAAATTTTAATGTTAGCAATCATCAAACTTACAAATGAATTTCACTACTCCATTTTAAAATCTGCACAGTGAAAAACCCCACCAACATTAAAACTTTGCTTAAGTTATTTTAGATTGCTTTTAATATTAACATCTCATTTTTTAGCGGAGCAAAAATGACCCCCTCACACCACTTATATTAAAAATTAAGTTGATAGACTTAAGTAATGGAAGCAAAGTAAAACTATTCATGGAACATTTAGCTACCTGTTGAGCCAGGTGTCAGTTCTGATTCTGTATTGAAATTCATTCTACTAGTATGAAAATGTCATGATTCTTGGAGCAGAGTTTTGAAGCTATGTGAAATTGCAAACTCGTTACAAAAACCTCATTAGCCAATATTGTGTGTAGCTGGATCCTCTTAGGGAGGCTAAAAAGTAATGGTCAATAACTGCATTCTTTTGTTGATATTATTAAATAAATAATATAAATTACAATTAAATAAATAATATAAATTACAATGAGTTTGCAGAGTCATAATATTTAATTTTGTTTAGGAACCTGCTGTGGTCTATCATGTGTCTTCACTGAATATTTATTTAAGAAACACAACTGTGGACGTAGAAATAAGGGTAGATAAATTCCAAATTAGGAAGTACATGCTTTAATGAGTAAAGACACTGCACTCGCAATTCCGATACTAGAAAGCTTGTTTACAGAATGCATTGCTTATCCATAGAGATCTTTAAAGAGACATCCTGTTGGCAGAAGAATTGACAGATAAGTTGTTCAAATTAAATGGTTGGGAGGAAAAAAAGAAAATCAAATCAACACTCTTCCTGAAACTGAAGGCTTAATCTGCCTTTTGAAAAGCTAGATGCAATTGTGTGCTACACTTTTACAAGTGAGGAAAGAATAAGATCTTTGAACACATGTGGGGACAGTTCCTCAATCTTTTTTACAATTAACTATGAATAAGCAAACACTGATGATTCAGAGTAGGTGGTTGCATTAGGATTGCACAAATCCTTACCCCGGTGGAAGCCTGGCTGCCGTAGTTTCGTCCAACTTGCAGCGAGGCTCGGCATGAATTCTCAGTCCACATACAGATGTATGTGTAAAGAAATGTGTATATACATATAACACGTGTGGCCACATAGGTCTGCACAGGCAGAAAGCCAGCAGTGAGACAAACAAATGGCACCAGTGGTCTCATCCTGTTAATCTCTCCAGTTCTTAAGGATGAAGACTTTTTAGTGGGGAATATGCATGAGTGTATGATGTGGGTTACTCCAGGAGCTGGGGTTGGACAGTGAGCCTGCCCCGGGGTCACTGGGCTGCCTGGGACATATGACTTTCTGAGGCTGCAGCCACACACCAGCCACTGGTAGGGAAACGATGCTGAGGGAATTGGGGTTGTTCAGGCTGGAGGAGACTCGAGGGAGACTTTCTCACTCTCTGCAACTACCTGAAACGAGGTTGTAGAGGGGTGGGTGTTGGTCTCTTCTCCCATGTAATGAGCGCTAGGGCAAGAAGAAATGGCCTCAAGTTGTACAGGGGAGGTTTAGGTTGAGTATTAGGAAAAATTTAGTCACAGAAAGGGCTGTCAAGCACTGGGCTTGAGTGGGCTGCCCAGGGAAGTGGTGGAGTCACCATCCTTGGAGGTATTTAAAAGATCTGTAGGTGTGGTGCTGGGGGACATGATTTAGTGATGGACCTGGCCTTGCTTAGGTTAAAGATGGGACTGAAGCTCTATGATGTTACTTGTCAGAAGTTTTGTTACAGGCTGACTCTTGAAATTAGCTCTTCACAGCTACTTACAAGTTTATGTATCAAAGTTAAACTCTTTTTTTATTATTTGTTAAAAACTTAAGCTAAGAATAGTTAAAGTGTGGTTTTGGCCTTTTGGTGACACTGCTTCTGTCAATTATCAAGAAACTTCTTTCGTTATACAGGTGAAATTGCTCCTTATGGAGGGGGGAATATTGCAGATAGTACATAACTGACAGAGCTTCCCATACAACACAACTTTTCAGTTTTCTTAGCAAGGCTAAACTGTGTAAAAGTCATTAGTCACTACCAAAATCTAGGGTCTTCATTAGAACACTCTTAATAATAAATGGAAATCTCTAATTTAGCCTTTTCTTTAATCCCTGCTACCTCAAATCACCTTTCTTCCATTTTTCCCCTCATCTCTGCTCATCTTCTGTGGATTGCTTTCAAGGGCATTCATTAGAATTTTATTTTTTTTAATGAGATGGGTTTCTAATTATAGAAAAGCAGGAGAAGCTGTTAGTTGCATTAGTGGACATGAAAAAGGGAATACTATTAAACTTTTAGGTTTTTTTAAAAAAAACATGTTGAGTTTAATAATTTCTCTAATAGAGAAATGTCTCCATATAACCCTATTACTTCAAGGAATTTATATAGTTGCTTAAATTAATCTCTTTATTTCTTAAATTTAAACCAAGTGAATGTTTAAACCTTTTTTCCACCTACTGTCTTATTGAACCATTTCAGATTATTCTTCATTCTCTTACATCTCTTTTTGTTTTTTCCTCTCACCAGAATTCTGTTTTGGACAGACTGGGATGCGAATTTTCCTCGCATCGAATCTGCTTCCATGAGTGGAGCAGAAAGAAAGATTATATATAAAGACATGGATACTGGAGCCTGGCCTAATGGCCTTACTGTAGATCACTTTGAAAAAAGAATAGTCTGGACAGATGCCAGGTAAAATGACAGTATTCTTATTATCTGTTTATAAATCCTTATTCTTACATACAGGAACATAAGTGGAACATAGATAGGTGCATTGTGCACAGCACTGCCTGTCTTAAATTTGGGGTTATTTTGCAGGTCGGATGCCATTTATTCTGCATTATATGATGGAACCAGCATGATCGAGATTATACGGGGTCACGAATATCTTTCTCACCCTTTTGCTGTTTCTTTGTATGGGAGTGAAGTATATTGGACAGATTGGAGGACCAATACACTCACAAAAGCCAATAAATGGACTGGCCAAAATGTCAGTGTCATACAAAAAACGAGTGCTCAGCCGTTTGATCTTCAGATATATCATCCAAGTCGTCAACCACGAGGTGACTCTTTATAGAATAATTATTATTCCTATGAGGTGGAAAAATGCTATTATTTTGATACACACATATCTGTATGAATTTGCCTTGAGGTGTCGACTCTTAATTATGTGTCATATTCATGTTCCTCCTGTGGTAATAGAATCTTTATTCAAACTGGAAGTTTCAGGGGATCAGCATCTGTGAATCTCACCCATTTGGGCTATTGTTAATGATCCTCTATAAATAAGGTGCAGAACCACATTTTTTTTAAAAGCTTCCAACTTGGTTTTTTTGACTAGTCTGACAAAACTAAACATAAGTGTTAACTATTTTTCTCTTGCCTCTTTCCAGAGAAAGGTGAACTTTTCTGTGAAATAAGCTGTGTGTACCATTCTTAGTTGTAAATATTCACTTTATGCTTTAATTTGTCTTAATTTACTCATTCACTTATCTGTCTCTATTTGCTTCTTAGTCTTTTTGTTTGCTCTTAGGACTGCATAAGAGAGTCTGCCACTGCAGACTGATACTTTTATACCTGAATAGCCCCAGCTGGGTGTTGTTCATAAACTAAGACTTATCCGAAGCATATCCTATTCACATAATACATTTTATTATAAAAAAAATATTAAGAATTTTCAATTTCAAATTAAGACAATCTGTCTTTCATGGGAGGATTGACTCAACCTTCTAGAGGCATAGGCTCAGAGTTTAAAACCTCAAGAAGCAACAAAACTGTGAAGGCTATTGACAGTATATGCATTAGTTAAATAATAGGAAATTCCTTCAGTTTTTCTTTATACATTATTTTGGAACTTTAAGTTTTCATTTTCATCTGTGCATATATTCATGTGCACATATTTCCATTTTAGTTTTTTACTAGCTTTCGTAATATAGTGTCTATTTATACCAGAGCACTGCTGCACAAATACGGTAAGCACATCAGCTTTGTTATTGGGTAGATAGTCTAATAATAGTTGTATAATCTTGAGCTACTATTAACTGTGTTAATCTTGAGAGCAAAAACTGACCAGGGTGCTGAGCAGAAGAAAACATTCCTCATTAAACTTCTTCAGTTATTTTGTTGGAAGGATGCTTAAAATCATTAAGGTTCTCTAAGTTCATCAAGTCCAACTGTCAACCCAACACCACTATGGAATCATTAAGGTTGGAGATCAGTCCTGCTGTGGATCCCCATGTAAAATGAAGAGCTAAATAAAGTGTCATTTTTGATACTATAGCTGTGTTGATTTTAAAATAAAGTTACAAAACCAGATATAGGATAGAAAAACATGGTAATGGTATTGCTGACAATTTCAAAACCCATTCTTGGAAGGAGATACATTAAGGTATTGATCGAGAAGAGGAGGGAGCTCGTAACCTCTCAACCACAGCTGGAATGCCAGCTTTTTCAGGATAGCCCAACTGTTCAATATAGCTTTCCTATACACGTGTAGCAAATTTTTTATTAGCTGTATCAGCCATCAGAGGGGACAAGTAAGTCTCTGTAGGCTTTTTTGTATTTTTATGTCAATAACTCACTGGTTATTTGTAAACATCAAAACAGATCATCCAGAACAGAACAAGTCATGATTAATGAATGAGGTGAGTTGCCCTCCTATTGATTATACATGTGTTTAATTTTACTCCTGCAACTGTTCTTCTGCAGTGGTATTACTGTCTTCTGTCTCTTGTAAACTGTTCATTCTACCCTAGTAACTTCCCCATCTGTACTTCTCAATCACCTGTCGTTGACAACCTGTTAAGTTACTTAGTGTAAATGGGCTTACGGGTACAGATTATCTAGGGTGTGAATAATACGTATTTTATCAGTATCTATAAGAACACATAGTTAATATGTGAATATATAATTAAATATCTACATGTATGTATTTCTTCTGCAAATGTCTATGTACATTTTTCCCCTTTTGTAGATTTGAGTGAAGCGTTCTGACATGCTTGAAGTCTTCTACTAGTAAATTAAGTTCTGTAGCTATAGGGCACATCAGGGCTGTGTCTAGCTTATGGCTACATAGCTATAACTTCTACCTGTGGAAGTTCTTGGTACATGCCATGCAAAATACAGATGCTGAAAAAAAGAATTATATGTGGTTTTTATTGTGAGACATGACAAAATACGCAGAAAAGTAAAAAATACCAGAATGACTGCCAATTAGTTACGGAATATTCCATGATCTCTGGGTAAATTTCAGTTCTTCTGCTAAAAAGCTGATGGTGATAGAAACTATTTTAGAATTCATGTCATGTGTACTTGTGGTTTTGAATTTTGAGGAACAGTGTTTTGTTTTGCTTCTCACCCAGGGTTTGTAGTGCTCAGCAAGCTATTCAGACTTTACTGTTAGTAAGTTCTGAGCAATTTTTATTTGAAAACATTAAATCCTGACAATTTTGTATGCCTTTGTAAATGTCTTAAAACCCAGTTCTGCGTTAGTTATTTGTGGAAGACTATGAATGTAGCTCTGATGTTAATGAGGACCAGCAAGTAAAATTCTCCTTGTACATTAGTTGTCAAAAGATTTGAAGAATGCTCACTAATAGTATGCACTGGAAAAAGGAGAGCCATGAATACAGCTCGCTGCTAGCTCATGAGTCTAAGTGTGATGACAACTGTGATAAGGACTTGCAGTGAACAACTCCTAATCTACCTTGCATTATATGACGTACGCTGTCAGGATACGCTTTTCTTATGGGTTTATTTTAAAATACTAATGAACTTACTTTAAAGAAGAATGTTACTGTTTTTTTCAGTGCATGTCAAGCTTCTTGAGCTTTATTACTTCTTGAAATAAGCCTCTTAAAAGAATTTTTTAGGCCAGGGTACTGTTCTAACAAAGGTATCTGACTTCTAGATGGAAGAATATGTATGCCCACGGTCTTACAGTATCGGTGGAGTAAACATGCATCTCTGCACACTCCTTCCACGTAACGTTTTTTGTTTTTTGTTTTTTTTAATTAGTCACCTCCTGAACTTTGGGATTTGAGGAGCTGGGTTCTATATTTGGTGTTTTCACAGTAGCAGAAGAGTTCCCATTAGCCATTTTTTGCTGTCAGAGAAAAAAAACTGTTTTCTGTTTGGAAGGAGGCCAGGCAATGTCTGGAGAGAGAGACTGCAGCTTAGAGAGACATCAGTCAGTCTTTCACAGGCATAGATACCTTGGCCTCAAGGCAGGGTACAAGCTGTAGTAGAGTTTTCAGCTGTTAATTGCTAAAATCAGAAAGTTCAATTATCAATTTGTGTAGTTGCAGCTCTTATGTTATGGTATACAAAACATCAGATTTCCAATTTATGAATGGACTTCTGGATTTGGTCTAAATTATCCTTTCTCAGTGGAAGCAATTTCTTTCTACAAATCTCCAGTACCTAGCATTTTTTTGGAGCTAGAGAAAAATGGTGATCCTGCGCGCTGACTTCTTAATTTTTCTTTTGAATTTGTAGCGATTTGGCAATAGATGAAACAAGATAGCACGCAGTTTAGAATTGCCGAGTGAAGTCAGTAGATTTGCATTGCAAAAATGTCGGTATAAATGTAGCACAGAAGGGCAAACATTTAGTATTTTTAGCTCCAAAAGTATACATCCAGGTCAGCTGTCTAGGTGAAAGGTTAATTTTTAAAATACATCATGCAATTTATTTTGCTTGAAGTAAAGTAGAACAGAGGTAAATAAATTCCTGTAGCCTGAAGCAACTTTACTTCAGTTAATGTAGGACAGAATCTAATTTAAGATAGTGAAGTTATGGTGAGAGATTTGTATAGATGATAGATTCATCTGTCAATAAACTGAATGATGTCCCATCTCAAGAATATGAGTTTGAGACCTACTCATATTCATGAAATCAAAGCTGTGGCAGGGATGCTGTTTAAATAGGAAACAGGTTTTCTTGGAAGAATATTTTTCTCAACTACCAATCCACTTTCGGCAAACAAGGTCTTCTATTTTAGGCGCAAGAAGTTGTACCATGAGGTGTGCTACTGAGGGTAGTGATGAGAGGAGTAAATATAGTGCAATGGAATGATCACAGCTTGAGAGCAGTTAGAAAGCTGTGAATTCCTCACACATTCCTCATTTTTTAATTTTTTTTTTTATTTCTCAAGTGTATTACTTTGAATTTTAAAAAAACCCAAACAACTAAACAAACATGGCCATATTTTTTTTTTTTTGACAGGTTGAATTTTTATAAACTAAAAATCAGACTCAAGCCTCTGTCTTCGACAATGGCTGCTGGGGGCCTACAGGGCAGTGTGGACCTGGGGACAAATAGTAGCCGTGCTCCTCCTGTAGAGCCTGGCAGCTTCCACTACCCCATAACTTCCTGATTTTTGAACCTAGAATAATACCTTTGTGCTTTAAAACTTCTGACTGATTCTTCTTGCATGAACTTTTCTAGTTGATTTTTGATTTTACGCAAACTCTCAATGTCTACAACTTTTTGAGCTCTGGTATGTAACTCTACAAGACGTGAGAGAGGACCTCCTGTTGTTTCTTTTGACCCTAATACCTGTTAATTCTGTTCAGTGTATTCTTGTAATAAGAAGGATATTGGACAGCCTTTTCATAAGTATAGATAAATCTGTTGCTCCAGAAAAGGATCTTGCAGATATGGATCCTGTTGCAGTGCTCATCCTCATGTATACAACTTGAATTTTTTTTTTCCTTGTATTACTATACATGTATTTAATTTGATCACTTTATTTCTCAGATGCTCTGTCAATTAACTCTTGTGTAGCTTTTTACACTTGGATTTAATTTAATACTTTGTCACTGATATTTTTGTTACTTACTTTAATGGTAAATTCCTGATTTTTTTTGAAAGTTTTCTATAAAGCCCGGCACCTGCTTCTTGCAGTACTATTGCCTTTAACCTTTCCACATGGTACTACCCTAGCATTACAACATGTCTTTTTCTTGTCTCCCTAGTCAATATTCAAGGTAATTCATTCCAGACAGTCTAGTCTTAGTTTTGGACTTATTAAAACTGACAAAAATATAATTAATTATATTTTTTTTCCCATTCCACTTTCTTCTTAAACTGTACACTGGGGAGGGGGGAGGAGCAAGGAGAAGTGATTCATTAAAAAGAACTTGAGAATTACAGTAAAGCTATTATACAATCGTAGAATGGCCTAGGCTGGAAGGGTCCTCAGTGATCATTTTAATCCAGCCTCCCTGTCGGCAGGGACACCACCTCTCGACTAGATCAGGCAACACATGGAGACCGAACGGGAATCGAACCCACGACCTTGGCGTTGTTAGTGCCACGCTCAACTGACTGAGCTAACTGGCCCCCAATCATGCCACAGGCAATACAGTATCAAGAAAAATTGTGCTAACTTTGAGCTAATAATATTTTTGTTTGGGTTTTTTTTTCATGGTGCAATGTAAATTTTTGTTAGATAAACACTAATTCATGTGAATGATTAAAAAGAGAATATAGGAAACAAATATGTATTTTAGTAGTAATGCATTCTTTGATCCATTCTAATTTGAAAATTCCAAAGATTAATGCAAAAATAATCAGATTGTATAAAGATTTTAACTTGACTGAGTATAGCAGAAGGATCTTTGGCCCTATGAAAAGCAATGCTACAGAAAGTATTGACAGTGAGCAGAGAATTAGATCAATAACTGGTTTTAAATATGAGTGGGATAGATTGTTGGCAATTTAAAATTATCCTTTTGATATAACCATTGTGCGTAATTTGAAGGTGTAGGCAGGATTTAATTATGTCGTGCACCATTAAAGTATCAGATTAAAATTTTGAGTAGCTAAAATATGATGCCAAGAAGGGACAAGTTCGATACGAAGTTAATACGGAAAATAAGCTGGTTCATAGGGAATGCATCTTCAAGAGGTTGTTAGAGTAACTGTTCGTTTGTCAACTGGTGATAGAATGTCTGAGGCATTTTGGCGGGTTTTTTAAGGGTTCCTTGTCAATAAAAATAATCATTGTATTTAAATAATGTTTTAGAAAGCAGTCAAGAGGAAATATGATGACAAAGAATGACATGTATATCTCTGCACAGCGCTGTAAAAGAAATAGATCGACCAGCAATCAACAGTGGAAATCAATTAAATAATGCAGAAGGCTGGCCAGTTGGTGGAAATGCCATTTCTGTGGGTTGCCGTGATCAAAAGGAAAATAGATTGGTGGAAGTGATTAGGAAAGGAATAAACCACAGAGAGTGAACTGTGATGCTGTATAAATCCATATCACTCCCATGTCTTGAATACAGTATACAGATCATTTAAAAGATACCGAGAAAGCCTGACAGGCTGATCAAGAGTATGGGAAAGGGTTTTGTGTGAGGACAGGTAAGCTGATGCTTCTTGAAATACAGCTTATAGACAGGCTTCTGTGGCATGGCAGCCTGTGAAATCATAAATGGCATGGAGTCAGTGAATGAGGAGCAGTGTGGTTATTCACAATAGAAATGGAAACAAGCATTAGAACTAGCACAAGGAAATAAAAGAGCCATGTTTTTTGAGAGTCAAAGCAATAGCATACCTCTTTGCCTTCAAGAAAAGTACTTTAATAAAAAGTAAAGAATGTGCTTAGCAGTTATTCAGTGAAAGTAGTATGAATAGGAAAGGAATATATACATGTGCACTAGTGTAAGAAATTTGTAGATTATGATTGCCCCTGCAACTGTGCACACATGTGAAAACAAAGACATGAATGTATAATAATGAGTGAAGATAATAAGAGGAGTTTCTAGGTTTTGTAAGACTAAGAAGTGTCTCTGGAGACTTTCAAAAACCGCCTGGACACGTTCCTGTGTGACCTACTCTGGGTGATCCTGCTCTGGCAGGGGGGATTAGACTAGATGATCTCTATAGAGGTCTCTTTAAACCTCCAACATTCTGTGATTTTCCGGTCAGCTTGCTTTCCTTCTTCGAACAAGATGTGCTAGAATTGCTTTTATAAGTGAGAGGTGGAAGTACTTCTGCATGTTTTGTTTTTTTTTTTTCAATTTACCTTTGCATGTTAGATTTCCTACTAATATTTTAGTAGGTAGATGAAATTGAGAGGGAACATTGACCTTGTCAAAATTCATTGCACAGGTTAAGCTTTGACTCTTTCCAAAACAAAATTTGTTCAGATTCTCATTATATTAATGATTTTTTTACGCTATATATCCTGGTTAGGAGTATATGATTATTTACATTTAAATGCTATAAATAACTGCAGAATTAATATCTCGCTGGGAATTTTTTTTCCAATGACTTCATGAAGTTACAATGATACATTTGGGGCTGTACGTGGAGCTCATGAGTAGAACACAAGCTCAGTTAAAAAGGAGACTGACATTGTCTTCAAACAGAGTTTTTGCCACTTTCTCACCAGTGTGGTTTGTGCTGGTTTGACAAACCTTGGTTCTCAAAGATGGTTTTGAGTATTTCATTTTTCTTTTTTTTTTTTTAGCTCCCAATCCGTGCTCTGCTAATGAGGGCAGAGGTCCCTGTTCTCATATGTGTCTGATCAATCACAACAGAAGCGCTGCATGTGCCTGTCCACATCTCATGAAACTGTCACTAGACAAGAAAACATGTTATGGTAAGTTTTCCTCTCAAAGCCTGACAACTGCAGTGATTTTTAGAATTTTGACTGATACAAATTAAAATACGTAATCTTGAAAACAATCTCTGCTGTGCTTTTTAATGATATATTTTATAGGGACATCTACTTTCTGAGAACTGATAAGTTGTTCTAATATATCAGGTGTGTGGAGCTTTGATATTTATTACTACAGTCATATTTTCTGTTGTATATGTGTGTGATATGTCAGTAAAACTTATCTCTGCGAAACAGAAAGATTTCTGCTGTAAAGTGCATCATCAGAAAACGATGAGTCAGGTAAGCTGAATAACAATGAGGTACTTAGTAGTTGAAATCTCTACCTGTTCTTTTAAATTTTTCTTAGTTTCATTTTCAAGGATGAAGAAAATGAAATGAAGAGTAAACACTAGACATGCAGCTTTGCAGGAGAGTTATATAAAAGAAATCCAAAAAACACTTTTAAGCTATCAAAAAAACCCCGAAATGTCACATACTTGTGTCTATTATGTGCAATACGTTGCACTGCATTACTGTCTTCAGTGTTGATTCATAGTGTTTAGGAAATACAAAAATACATATTTTGTCATTTCAAGGATATTGCAGGGGAAAAGTTACCTTTACTGTTTAATCACAGACATTTGCTCTAATAAATTAAGCTTTCAAGATTAAAAAAAAGAAAAGAGTTCTGTTTTGCCTTTAATAAATCTCACTTTTTTTCATTAGTGGATATCTAAATTAGAACAAGCAATGTGTTCTTTTTCTTCCACATGTCTGCCTATCACTGCTTACACGTCGATTGTGAAATTCCTCATGAGTTTTGTTATTTGCAGTACCTGCCTGTTACAGTGATACTCGCTTCCCCTGAGATTCTAAATCTTAATATCTGTTATGATGTGCAAATGAAACAGTATTTTCATGACTGGGGTGTGAGGTAATTTTTTTTAAATATCACTTTTAACATTTTTCTTAGACATTCAGAAGACTGTATTGATTTAGTGATGTAGTAACATCATTTCTGGCATCCAGAATTCTATTTTTTTTCCCCTGTGATTGTTAGGCCCTTTCACATGCTTCATTTCTCAAGTGTCATTCAGCTGCAGGTTTTTTTGGAGGTGTTAAATCACTTGGACTTTATTTACACATTTGTAAAGTGATCTCAGATGAATGACCTGGACTTCTGTTCTGTTAGCAATGTTGTGAAGAGGATGAGGAGTGACGTTTTCCTTTTTTTCTTAACAGAAAGGAAGAAATTTCTTCTTTATGCAAGGCGTTCAGAAATAAGAGGGGTGGACATAGAAAACCCATACTTCAACTTCATCACAGCCTTCACTGTTCCTGACATTGATGATGTGACTGTCATAGATTTTGATGCTGTTGAGGAACGCCTATACTGGACTGATGTGAAAACACAGACCATCAAGCGTGCCTTCATAAATGGCACTGGCTTAGAAACCATCATTTCGAGAGGTAAGTAAAATAACTTTAAAGTAAAAAGAACTAATTTTAGTTAAATGCGTGCTAAAATATGAGCGTGCAAGTTTTTGTTGGGTGTAGCTTTCACTGGTGTTAGATAATTGATCTAAATAGAAATTACAGTTTGTTTAGGATTCTAGTCCATTTTATTGACTCCTAATTAATTTCTATTTAAGCAAATTGGGATATACTTGTAACGTTGCTTTTGTCCAGTACTTCAACATGGTAAAATATGGAAAAAATGTCTTCTGGGGAAACTAGAATAGAGATGAAAAGCAGAAAAACTGCAATATCCTGAAATAACTTGGCATTGAAGAATTTCATTGCGAGTTTCCTATGTCTTTTGGCTATCTGTGCTGACCTAGCAAAGAAATTGGCTCCATTAGATTAGTTTTTTCCTTTGCATTCCATGTAGATCCTTCAGCTCTGGCACCACTGGTGACACACAGGACATGGTAGTTGCGTAGTTTTGGTGCCAGTGGTGTTATGTATTCACCTGTTGTGTTCTTGCAATGTGTCGCGTCCGAACTGAGGGAGTGGAGCCTTTGGATTCTGTGTCTCAGAATCCTGTGTACATTTCCTCCATCATCACTGTTTCAGTTACTTAGAATACTAAAATTCAGATTTTCTTTTTAACTGAGCTTTTTCATTATAGGTAGATTGCTTACAGCAATAAAAGCCAACATAAAATATTGCCACTGGAAAATCATGTCTGGCAGGTTTTTATTCAGTTAACGCTTTCCTGGTTTTGACATTTTTGCTTTGTACTTTGAATACAGAATGTTAATGGATTGTAAAGTGTCTGCCTGATTGCTTCGATGTCAGCAGCTCTGGTATTAAAGTGATAGCACTTGTTGTCCTTGCTAGTGGTGTTTTCTTGTTGTTTCTGACCACTGTCTGTTCCATTCCTGGCAGCACATCGTGTTCTTGTGTTTTTAATATACCTGTCTGCCTGAAAGTAGGAAAACTGCCAAAGGACTACCTGGAGGCAAATTTTGTAGAGTCCGATTCCCCAACTGTTTAGTGTATATTAGAAGGGAAAGCGAAGAAAACAGACAACTCATTTCTGTAAGATCAGAGCTTTTCTGATTTTGAGAATAAATTAAGTAAATTTAGAAAAATACTTTGGAATACTTTTGGATTATTCAGAAATCTAATTAAAGCTCTGCCCCTGGTGTCACTTTAGAAGAAAATTGTGCTATTTTAGCGTATTTTGGGAAATCATTGGTCAAATATGGCAATATCCCCACTTGGCTATGTAGAATGATGATTTTACTTATTGTGGGTATCTCTGTTTTTTCCTTGACATCTCGGAGACAACTTCATTAACAATTGGAGATGTTTTTCAGTACTGGTAATGAAAACAAGGTTTAGAGTGCCTCTTACAGAGAAAAAGAGAAAAGAGTAGTTGTGTTTTAAAATGAGAGTAGAATAAAAAAATTGTTTACTATATAAAATATACAGAGAAAAGTCACAAATCTTGTCAAGAAACTAAATGAAACTTAAAGAAATGTACTGTGTTTCAGTTAATCAACATCCTTTCATGTTGTCTATACTATGGTAGCTTCTCTGGTAGAGTTGTTTTGTGAGGTTTTTTGTGACCTTTTTAACTTCTTGATAAATAAATTTGCAAAATTGTGATGTTCTGGCACATCAAAACATTATAGAGACTATTCGTTGTGTGTAGATGGTCTTATTTGCTTACAGTTATGTTTTTAAGCTTTGCAAGCACATACTAGTGGGATTCTCGTTGGATGAAATCTTACACCACTGTCACAGAGATGCCAAAGTCATACTTTAATCTTTTTAAGACTATGAAATGGTTATTTTCTGCCTCCTCCAAACAAAAAACTCAAAAGTTTGGGAGATCAGTTGTATATGGGTCAGGCCTATCTATTTGGTGTCCTTTTCAAGCTTTAGAGAATGCAGCAAACTTTCTAACACCTAGTCACTGTTTCGCTTTATGTATATGCGTGACGGAGAGACTTCCCTGCAATGTTCTGGCTAGAGGTCTTTTTGAGCTTCACTCACAGGTCCAATACATGGACTTCACTGTGAGGTTCAAACTCTCAATGTATTAGGACTTCATTTAGGAGTGTTGATAGACAAGAAGCTCAACATGAGCCATCAGTGTGCTCATGCAGCCCAGAACGCCAACCGCATCCTGGGATGTATCAAGAGAAGCGTGGTCAGCAGGTCAAGAGAGGTGATTCTCCCCCTTTACTCTGCTCTTGTGAGAACCCACCTCGAATACTGCGTCCAGTTCTGGTACCCCCACCATAAGAGGGACGTGGATCTGTTGGAGCGTGTTCAGAGGAGGCCACAAGGATGAGCCAGGGGATGGAGCACCTCTGCTACGAGGACAGGCTGCGGGAGCTGGGATTGTTCAGTCTTGAAAAGAGAAGACTTTGGAGGGACCTAACAGCTGCCTTCCAATACCTGAAGGGAACCTACAGGAAGGCTTTTACAAGAGTGTCCACTGATAGGACAAGGGGAAATGGGTTTAAGTTGAAGGAGAATAGATTTAGA